TAACTCACAAAATAATAGATATATATACAGTGGCTTGCAAAAGTATTCGGCCCCCTTGAACTTCTCCACATTTTGTCACATTACAGCCACAAACATGAATCAGTTTTATTGACTGGCAGCTGTACTCGCAGCAAAAGGTGGTTCTACAAAGTATTGACTCAGGGGGCTGAATAATTACACACACCCCACTTTGCAGTTATTTATTTGTAAAAAAAAATGTTTGGAATCATGTATGATTTTCGTTCCACTTCTCACGTGTGCACCACTTTGTGTTGGTCTTTCACGTGGAATTCCAATAAAATTGATTCATGTTTGTGGCTGTAATGTGAGAAAATGTGGAAAAGTTCAAGGGGGCCGAATACTTTTGCAAGCCACTGTATACAGCCCCTGATGAGAATGTAATGACATTGAAAACAATATAAAGCCTGGATGTTGCTCATTAATACCCTCGAAAGTTCCCCAGTATGACAAACTTTGGCCTTTGTTTTGGTTGGAGTTCCAGTAAATACGCTGCTAACGCTTCTAGAAGGCCTTCCTGGAAGGTTTGAGTCTGGCCTCTGACTGGTACCGTCAGGCCAAACCACGGTCGCACTGCCATCGCTTGGTACAAAGATGTTACGACAGCTACAGTCCCGTTTAGAAACCAGATCTCCAGCTGATCTCCAATTTTTTAACCACTAACCACTGATAGTTTGTAAGCAGATGGCATATGGCAGGACCTTTGAAGATTTATGATTATTATTTATTTAGTATTTTCTAAACGTAATAAAAAGGACTTAAAGTGATTAAGAAACATTCATAGAGTTCCTTATCTATCACACAAACACTGTATAGTACAAGAGTGTATATCTTATCTACCATTAAATGAGGCGTTGTTGTAGCTCAGAGGGGAGAGCAGGTCATCTACTGTTTAAAAAAAAACCTGTTTCAGTCTGCATGCCCAAACTCCACATTTCTCTCCGATGTGTTAATTAGAATGTGAATATTAGCTAGAACACACTTTGGCAATGAATGAGTGTGAATGAGGTAAATTGTGTAAAGTGTTTAAAGTGCTAAACCAGAGTAGAAAAGTAGAAAAATTCTTTTACAGCACTTTGGTCAACAGCTGTTATTTTTACATGTGCTATAGAAATACATTTGACTTTGAATATTTGATGACCTGCTCTACTTTCAAGGAAATAAAGAATCCATAATGTATATAAAAAAGTATTAATATCCATTTTCTTAACGACATATTCAGCCATGGTGGGAGTGGACCATAACCCAGCAAGAACAAGGATAGCTGCAGTGGACAGTTGCCATCACAAAGCTTCAATAACAATTTGCAGAGTAAAATTTGTAGAGTAATTATGAAATTTCAAGTTTGGCCTGATGATGGCAGTGTTTTTTCACTTCCACACTGCCAAAAGCCAGTCACTGTTACACAGAAGTGTGTGTTAGTCTTATTGTCGTTTGAATAACACATTTAGCACAGAACAGCTCTTTAGCTGTTGTACAAGTGTAGTGTCACGGTCATGGTCACACCACATGTGCTAATCATTAAAACCTTTGTATTACCCACAATTGTTTGTGGATCAACTTCAGACTTCACAACAACAAAATAGTTTGCCTTGTGGGAAATGTGTAACTAGGATGACTAAGCACTGACCTTGACCATCATTGTTAGAATCCAAGGTAAAAGTTGATCTTGGAAAAATATAAAAATATATCAAGAAACCATGTTGTTGTGCTTTCTGAGTGCACTTGTTAATTTTAAAGTGGTCCTGAGCTTCAGTTCTCCAGGCTTTTTTTTTTAAGTTTTCCTTTCACCACTTTGTCATTTATTTCAGTCCAGTCATTGTACCTTCCATTTTCGGAAAAATGTTTTCATGTTTGTTAAGTCACCTGATGCCCACTGATTCCCAAGGAGCTTTTTGTCAAATCTTAGCATTTCTTTACATGGTGAATAGTGTGTTCCCCCCCAAAAAATAAAGAAACTGGACAGCAAGCATAAAAAAACAGTCTACAGTAGATAAACAGAATCTGAAAGTGTTAAGAAATAGAAAAAAATCCAGTAAAAACTTGGCAAAGAAGGTCTGAGTGCTGCATCTGCACCCCCGATTCATCTAGCTGTGAGTGGCTCACTCACATGCTGGGCCATCTGACCTCAGGAAATCCCATGATAGGGTGGGGCTAGGTATCATGATAAGCTCAACTGAAACCTTGGCTGATTGTAAGCTACACCCGTTTTCACACCTTGGCTCGTGTGATTAGGTAGAGGATCATTAGGGGGTTGATTTTCCCTCTCCGGGGGACACTCCCACAGGGCTTAAATCTGGGACTGTCCACCATTTGACCCTAGAACTGAAGAAGCTTCTCGGATGAGAGGTGAAACATCTTCAAGGAAACTTACAGAAGTCCAGATGCTTTTCTTTCCTTAGACCACGATGACCTGAGAACCTTTACAGAGAGATATAGGTCAAAGGTCAGGCACTGGTTTAAAAGCAGGCTGATGTCAGCATGTTGTAATAAAAACAATTAAAAATATCAAAATGTTTGTGTAGCTCTTGTCCTTCGAGGGCAGTTGTGCATTCTGAGTGCTCTTGTTATTTTTAAAGTGGTCTTGAGCTTCAGTTCTCCAGGCTTTCTCAAGACATGAACCACTTTTGTGTACAAATAACAGACAACTTAGCAAAGAACCTATTTTAAATCGTATCTTTGTTATTAGAAGCCTGTCACAAAACAAATGTTCTTATTATTTTAATTACTTATTTTAATTACTTTAATTACTTAATTTTAACTACAACAAATGCCAAGGGCAACACAATTTGACAGGAAAAAAAATCTGCATTTTATGCCCACTGATTCCCGAGGAGCTACTAGTCAAAGCTTAGCATTTCTTGAAATGGTGAGTAGTGTGTTCTGAAAAAAAAGGAATGAAAATGGACAAGAACAAAACAAAAATCGAAAAGCATAAAAAAAACTTGATACAGAAGATCTGAGTGCTGCATCTGCACCTTCGATTCATCTACTGCTCGCCAAAGCATCATCAGAAATGATCTGAGTGAAGCCATCAAGAAGCCATTCTTAAGAAAAGGAAAGTAGGAGAAAAGCTGAGGTATGACAAATTACACAAGAGCTAGAGTATCAGTATTAAAAGGCCTCATGGAGTTATGAATGCAAATTGGAAATGTTTTATTTAAATTAAGTCAGTATGTACAGAGGCAGGTCAGGAGAGAGGTACAATAATGTGCTTTTACAGACATCTGTGAAACATGGTGGGGCTTCTGTCCTGGTTTGAGGCTTTGTTTCATTTCACAGGAGTACGCTTTGACAATAAACTGGACTGGGATAAAAACACCACTGCACTCTACAGGAAGGTCCAGAGTCGTCTCTATTTTCTGAGGCGGCTGAAGTCTTTCAACATCTGTTCGACAATGCTCAGGATTTTCTATAAGTCTGTTGTGGCCAGTGACGTCCTCTATGCTACCTCAATGCTGAGATTACCCAAATGCACCACTGAACGGCACAAGAAACCGACGTCTGGTTCCAGGAGACATGAACTGCTTTAGGGTTGTGTCAGGAAGGGGATCTGTTGTGAAAACTCAAATCAAATATGAAGAGCTACCTGATGTAGTGGCCACTCATGAATAAAGAATCAGCTGAGAGTAACTCCATCTATACATTACCATGTGGAAAGTGTTTAATTGGCAAGTGGCTTCAATTTTCACAATGATCCCAGACACACTGCCAATGCAGTGTAAGTGCACCTGGATACAAAATTACACAATAAAACACCATAAGGCATGAAATGGCCTCCTCAGAGTTCAGACCCTGTAATATAGATCAAGCAAGTCAGTTTAGGCTCTGTGTAAATCAGGAAAAACTGTTTATATTTAGATACTGGATGCCACTGTCATGGTCCTCCAGTCCTCTCTGGTGTTGTGTTCTTGTTGTTCTGCCTTCCTCTTCACTCCTCGCCAGGGCGGCTCCTGCTCCCCGCCTTGATCCTCCGCTCCTGGTCGCAATTACTCACCTGCCTTTCATTACTTGTGATTGGTCCTGGCACTCTAGGAGGAACATCCTTCAATTGGTGCAGGAGTATGAAAAGGAATCAAGCAAACTAGTGGATTAGAGTAACCATCTCCATTTCAACCTAAGCTGTAGACAAAGCAGACTTGTTCCCAAGAGTTTGCACCTCAGATCTACTGTCAGGGGACACAGCAGAGTTGATTCTATGGAAAGCACAAAATCAACTTCTAAGTGAAAGAGTGAAATAGGTCAGTTTTACTATAGATGCACTCTGGAAAAAGATTGTTCAGACTGCAGGAACTCAAAGCACTTTGCACGCTTCTGCCACTTAAGCCAATGCGAGGTGAAAAACATCACCTAGTTAGTGTAGCCCTGGTGCTCTTTTTGAATCTGATCATGTTTTTCTAATGAACGTTTCATTTCTCTGTACAGATCTTCCTGGACCCTTTCTTGTTTCCCTTGAACCCTGTTGGATGAACGTGAGTGGATTCCAGTGTTGAGTGGGTTTGAGTGAGTCACAGACTGTGTGAAGAGGAGTGTGGACATGTTACCCTTACCCTGGATCCCCCACCCCCACAGGCCCCGATCCTTCGTCACTGTATATATTACTGCTAAATATTCCATCAGTACAGTACATAAAATGTGTTATTTTGCCTTATTTTAAACTGTATCAAAGGAAAATTCGATTTGACATCTCTTGATGCTTCAAAGAAACGAAGAAGAGAAAAAAGTTTCAGACTCTTTGTCGTATTTGTGAGGTGTTTATTTTGGAGCATAATATATATAGCACAAAGCATCCACGAAACATTACACAATCAAAGAGCGTGACTGTTCAGTGGATTATTTCAGGCTTATAATCGCTTGAAAGATAAACTTTGGACCACATGTAAAAGAACTGTCATTATAAAAAGTTTGCATGCGTTTTATATGATATTATCTGACAAAGCAGAACAATGTGTAAGGATGAGCAGGCAGCTGGTTCAGAAAGAGCTCTGGTCCAGTCTTTTCATGATGCGTTGGGTTCAGGAGGCAGACGCATCCACACACACTGAACGAGACTTTTTGGTAATGAAGCTGAAACAAAGAGGTGGAAATTCAGAAATCTGAATTTTAAATAAGCTTCAAAATTCTCTCAGTAAATATGTTGTAAAAGTAACAATAATAATAATAATAATAATAATAACGTATACTTTATTTATCCCAGTAGGGAAATTACTCTCTGCATTTAACCCATTCACTCTAGTGAAGCAGTGGGCAGCCACCAATCAGGCGCCTGGGGAGCAGTGTGAAGAGACGTTACCTTGCTCAGGGGTACCTCAGGGTAGCCGTTCAGTGGTTTCGAATGCCCGAATATGTACTTTTTTTTTTTTTTTAAATGACCAGTAGACAAAATGTCATAATATAAACACTTAAATGTGTATTTCAAACAATTTACAAGCAAAGTAGCCAAACATCCACGTAAAATTGAGCAAATTATAAAAACAAGTTTGTGCATTTTTCTTGAACATTTACAGGATAAAATTAAAAGACAATAGTAGGAGAACAAATACAAGTTCAAATAAAAAGTATCAAACTTATACTATGTCCTGAGCATCATGTGTAAAATGACAAGTTTTAATTATCCAAAAAACGTCCTGTTACAATGATCATACTGCATAATTTTCAGTCACTGTGTTAAACATTATAAATTAAAATAAACCCAGTTTTCTTCACTTACATGATGGCAGACTTTGGGCATCGGTGATCAGTCAGTCGATACGACTTGATGAGGTTTGCTTGAATTCTTCCCGGGTACAACTTGAAACAGCAGTTGTCGGGACCATTTGCATCTGAGAAAAAGACTTTTCATTACACTTACTCAAAAAACAAAACCTCTCTTTTAATGATGACATTTAAGGTAATCTTACTGTTGCAGTTAACTGCAGACAACAAAGCAGCTCCAAGGATGCACAGCAAAAGGAACTGAGCGGTTTTCATTACGATTCCTCAGGAGTTGATGATGATGATGACGATAAAGACAACAGCTGCTCTTCAGACGCAAGCAAGGGCTTCTAAATATTAGGTGGTGTGCTGTTACATTTATCAAGATCGATACTTTTTTTTTTTAAAGGTACATAGGGTGTCATTGGTGTGAAATTTCAAAAATTGCTGAAAATGCCTCTGACAGAACTTTTCATTCGGTTACATTGACAGGAAATGAAGCTGTGGTTTAACCCAGCGATGCAGCTCAAAGCATGACACTGTTAACAAAAAACAACTTCTACACCCCCCTCGCCCAAAAGTTAAAAAAAATATATGTCACAAAATATTAGGACCACAAAAAAAAAACACTAAAAAATTGGTGATCAGTCAGCTAATATGACTCCATGAAGTGTGCTTTAATTCCTCTTGGTACAACCTTCAGCAGCAGTTATTGGGACTATTTCCATCTGATTAAAGAAGATTAAGATCAAACTGTTTAAAACGTATAAAAATAAAAAAATATTGATGATCACCAGAGCTACCCCTCATCCTCCTTGTAGATAAGCAAATGGTATGAATTTCAAAGTCCACAGCTCTTTGTTCTCAAATTATCGCATTCCCAAGACTTTCAGAAAACTTGACCTCTGACCTTGAGATCACCTTGACTTGAGAAGGTCACAGGACTCAGACTTATACACTATTTTAGGTAGCTGCACCTGAGGTATCAATTTCAGAATCCTACACAAGTTATCTGATTCACAAACATGGGTGTTGATGCAGCCCGCTCATCTGGCAGGGTAGCCCCAAAATGTTGAGGAAGACAAGGAAAATTTCTTTGAATTAAAATTTTTCTAAAGTGTTATACTTTATAGGGAAATTAGGGAATTTAACATGGAAAAAATTCTTTGTTTGCATAATTTTCAGTTTAGAAATCTGAACTTTGAGGCACCAGACAAAGAGCGATTCAGAAGACCCCTATGAGCAGAACACCTAGGGAACAGTCCACCCTGCCCGGGATAGGGTTACTGGTGCCCCGCCCCTGAGCCAGGCCTGGGGAGGGTGCCCGCGGGCGAGCGTCTGGCCACCAGACGTCGGTCCATGGGGCCCGTCCGGGCACAGCCCGAAAAAGTGACACGGGTCCATCATCCTGCAGGCCAACAGGAGGCACCGTGCATTGTATGCCGGGCTGCAATCAGGACCAGAGGCCCTGGCGGACCAATCCCCGGCTACCAAGACTGGCAACTGGGACATGGAATGTCACCTCTCTGGTGGGGAGGACCCTGAGTTAGTGTGTGAGGTTGAGAGGTGCCGGCTAGATAACTATTCTCCTGGAGAGGGCTTGGACTCTGTCTCAGTCTGGAGTTGCCCCTGGTGAGAGGCGGGCTGGAATGGGTATCCTAGTATCCCCTCAGCTTGCTGCCTGTACGTGGTGAAGAGAGAGCTGAGTGTAAAAGCAAAGCTCTCAATTTACCGGTCAATCTAAGTCCCTACCCTCACCTATGGCCGTTCAGTTGTTGTCTCGCTCTAACATCACAAGCTGCAGAGCTGCTGCGAGAACAGGAGTACACGAAAAGCTGAAACTTTCTATTTAAAAACTGTGTTTTATATTCAATTTCGATCTTTAGGAGGGGGAAAGACCCTACTATCTCAGTGTTGCAGAAGAAATCGAGACTAATTACATCAGCTTCTATTGTCCAATTTTTTGTAAGCCTGTTTGACTTGCAGCCTCAGTTTCCCATTCTTAGCAGCCGGTCTTGTGCTGCTCTATCCCATCTGCTCCAATTTATGACATGCTGTTCATTCAGAGATGCTCTTCTTCTTCTTCATTACCATGCAAAATTCAAATTTACTTGAATGACCTTATGTCCATAAGTTTAGAACCCAATTATATCTACTGTGGCAATTTAAATATTTAAGGAGAAAATAAGAATTAAAGTCTTCCAGGTTCCAATTTAAAATAAGTCATCTATATAATAGATGAGGCATGACCCCTTTTAGCTTCCGTTTTGGTTACATATATATATATATATATATATATATATATATATATATATATATATATATATATATATATAAAACAAGCCGAAAAGCAGCACGAGGGATCAGTAAAGCTGCAGAAGAAGATCAGCAGTAGCTTGGGGGTATGCTGACAAATCCATGGATACAGATTGCTTCTAATTTCTTTCATTATGAGCAATAGCATTTGTTGTCTCTCTTGTATCAGTGCCTGTCACATATAAAGGAGAAGCTGCGCTGGTGCCAGATGGAGGTCAAGGTGAAGAGAGAGCAACTGACTGAGGTGGAGGCCATGGTGGCTGGGAAGAGGGACCACCTAACCAGGGTCAAGCAAGAAAACAGTCGCCTGCACAGACAAAACCTGAGGTTGAAGGAGCAGCGTGGGCTGCTGGGCAACAGGGTCCTGCTGCAGGACTTTGAGGATACTGTGAATGCCTCTGACCAACTGGAGGAACAACTAGAACATCTGAAGTGCCGGCAAGCCGAGATCCTCTTCAGCTGTGGCGGGTGGAAGAGTCAATAATGACTAAAACTTTATCTCAGGTTTCAAAAAGCTATGAAAAAAATGAGAAAAGAACACATGTAGCTGACAAGGAGCTACCAGGAATGAGAACGAGCACTAGCCTTTACAGTTTGATTCAGTGTAGTGTCTCACTGTAAACTAAGCTTGCGTGCAGTAAAACTTGGAAAACCATAATCTGGATAAGAAGTCATGGTCGGAATTCCATGCATCCTCTCAAAAAAGATTATCATCTTAGATAAGGTGACTCAGACATGTTGAAGCAATCTTAAAAACATTGATAGAAATAAAGATACATTTTTGTGCAGTTTTTGTATTTTAATATGAAAATGTACTTTTTTTTTACCAGAAGGTTTTAGTGTATTTGTCCTGTAGTAAAAAGAAAAATAATTAAATTTAATTTTACAAAGAAAACGTAGTAGCGGTTAATACTGTCACCTCACAACTAGAAGGTTGTATATTTATAGTTCATGGCTGGCTTCAGCTTCTGTGTGAGAATAACTGGTGATTTTGAATTGCCTGTAGGTGAAGATGTGAGAGCGACTGGTTGTCTGTCTCCGGGTCTTCTCTGCCACATGTGGATTTCATACTTCTTAAACGTTACCTTGACATCTTTGATAGACTTTCTAGCCAGAAAGTTTGTGTTCAGCAATATTTAATCCAATTATTTATGGATTAAAAAGACAAAAAGACTTTGACAGCAATTGTATGAAATCCATAAATTATATATATATTTATATATATATATATATATATATATATATATATATATATATATATATATATATATATATATATATATATATATATATATATATAAAACACCCAGCACGCCCCTGCGGGCGGTTTTATCCTTCAAGCTCGGGTCCTCTACCAGAGGCCTGGGAGCTTGAGGGTCCTGCGCAGTATCTTAGCTGTTCCCAGGACTGCGCTCTTCTGGACAGAGATCTCCGATGTTATTCCCGGGATCTGCTGGAGCCACTCGCCTAGCTTGGGAGTCACCGCACCTAGTGCTCCGATTACCACGGGGACCACCGTTACCTTCACCCTCCACATCCTCTCGAGCTCTTCTCTGAGCCCTTGGTATTTCTCCAGCTTCTCGTGTTCCTTCTTCCTGATATTGCTGTCATTCGGAACCGCTACATCGATCACTACGGCCGTCTTCTTCTGTTTGTCTACCACCACTATGTCCGGTTGGTTAGCCACCACCATTTTGTCCGTCTGTATCTGGAAGTCCCACAGGATCTTAGCTCGGTCATTCTCCACCACCCTTGGGGGCATCTCCCATTTTGACCTCGGGACTTCCAGGTTATACTCGGCATAGATGTTCCTGTACACTATGCCGGCCACTTGGTTATGGCGTTCCAAATTCAAATTCAAATTCAAATTTTATTTGTCACGTACACAGTCATACACAGTACGATATGTAGTGAAATGCTTGGACAACTGCTTGTGACCTAAAGAAAACAAAAAAGGAAAAGGCTATGAATAAGATAGGAAATAAATATGAAAAATTAAAAAGGGTAAATTTAACTAGGAAGGAATAGAATATAAATTAAGGTTAAAAATGAAATAACTGTACAACACAAATTAGAATGAAGGGTAAATTTAACTGGGAGAATAAGATAAAGATAAATATATAAATTAGAGTTGAAAATAAAATAACTGTACAACAAAATACACAATACACAATATAGAACTATATAAGAATGTATGAAGAAATCTAAATATAAATAAATATATACACAATAACAGCAGCTGTACAAGTATTAACTGGAAATGAAGAATATAGTGACCAGTGTTGTGCAAAACCAAAGTCCAGAAAGTCCAGTGTGTGTGTAAGAACTGTATGTGTGGGTCAGTACTGTGTGGTGGTGTGATTGAGAGACCGTATCGCCTGCGGGAAGAAGCTCCTCCTCAGTCTCTCTGTGTTGGTCTTCAGGGAGCGGAATCGCTTTCCTGACCTCAACAGAGAGAACAGTCTGTTGTTGGGATGGCTGAGGTCCTTCACAATCTTCCTGGCCTTGGTCCGGCACCGCCTGCTGTAGATTGAATGCAGGTCAGGCAGCTCGGAGCGGATGGTGCACTCAGCTGACCGTACAACCCTCTGTAGAGCTCGTCTGTCCTGCATGGTGCTGTTCCCGAACCAGGTTAAGATGTTTCCCGCCAGGATGCTCTCTATGGTGCACGAGTAAAAGTTCCTGAGCACCTTGGAGGGCAGTTGGAAGTCTCTCAAGCGTCTGAGGTGGTAGAGACGCTGTCGGGCCTTTTTCACCACGGTGTTGATGTGACAGGACCATGACAGGTCCTGCGTGATGTGAACTCCGAGGTATTTGAAGCTGTCCACTCTCTCCACTGGGCACTCGTTGATGACGGGGGTCTGGTAGTTCCTCTCCTGCTTAGTGCTGAAGTCCACTATCAGCTCCTTTGTCTTACTGACGTTTAGAAGGAGGTTGTTCCTCTGGCACCAGTTCTCCAGATTCCTAATCTCCTTCAGGTAGGCCGTCTCGTTGTTATCAGAGATCAGGCCCACCACGACGGTGTCGTCAGC